TCTGTTTCGGCATTTGCAGGGAAACAGAAGGTCACAAAAGAAACGCCACGGAGATCTGACCTGGGGCGATGGCACGCATGCCAGCAGAGAAGGCTCTGTATGCCACCTCCGGCACAATGTGCATGTATAGGTTCTCCATCCCGGATATATAGGAATATATTGCCTCTATTTTCAGAAAGGTGATTATTATGTAGGCAAAATTAGCACCAGCAATGCAAAAAGAGCGCTGTAAGCCACCCCGAGTCACCTCGTGGTGAGATGGGTAGCAAATAAATGTAATAAATAAATGTATTCATTGATTGATCATCCAAACTAATAGCTTAGCAGGAGAGGGTTTACCAACAATGCGTGTGCAGGAAGAAATGTATGTATGGAAGCAGCCTTGGGAATTTAGAAGAATCAATTGAATGGAGTATCTTGGATAAAGTGTAGAACAAGGAGCAATGGGTGGAAACTAATCCAGGAGAGAAGCAACTTAGAACTGAGGAGAAATTTCCTGACAGTTAGAGCAATTAATCAGTGGAACAGCTTGCCTCCAGAAGTTGTGAATGCCCCAACATTTTAAAGATGTTTTTAAGAAGATGTTGTATAGCCATTTGTCTGAAATGGTATAGGGTTTCCTGCCTAGGCAGCGGGTTGGACTAGAAGATCTCCAAGGTCCCTTCCAACTCTGCTATTGTATTGTATAAAGTTTTGATTGAAGGAATAGGAGCCCAGGTCCTAAAACGGTGTTTCTCAGCCTTGGCAATTTGAAGATGTGTGGACTTCAGCTCCCAGAATTCCCCAGCTAACTGTGCTCGGGAAGTCCCTATTCCTGACTGGGGAATTCTGGGAGTTGAAGTCCACAGCTTTTGAAGCTGCCAAGGTTGAGAAACATTGCCATAAACTGTTTTCTTGCAGATTTCTAGAGCTCCGCTATCTTTGGCAGCCCCCACACCCCTTGCTATTTTTATTCTGCATTATATTGGTTTCTTAAAAATATATGTAAGTTTCGAAGTTGCTGCAGGAGATTTAAAACGAAGACACGCTGAAATACACCTGTTAAGAAAACAAACAGCATTTCCTCTGGGGCATCAGCTGTCATATTTTATACCATTACGAAACACTGAAGAAAGATTGGAAAATGCAAGAACCACTAAATCAAATGCCATTCCTTGCTGCCTTTTTCCTCTTGTAAGAATGTAAGTTTGACTTTCTGGGGCAGCTAAAGTAATGATGAAGGGATGCAGTGGCTCAATGGCTAAAATGCTGAGTTTGTCAATCAGAAAGTTTGGCGGTTCAAATCCCTAGCACCGTGTAACGGAGTGAGCTCCCGTTACTTGTCTTCTGCCAAGCTAGCAGTTCGAAAGCATGTAAAAAGGCTAGAAAAATAGGAGCCACCTTTGGTGGGAAGGTGACAATGTTCTGTGTGCCTTCGGCATTGAGTCATGCCGACCACATGACCACGGAGACGTCTTCGGATGGCTCTGGCTCTTCGGCTTTGAAACAGAGATGAACACTGCCCCCTAGAGTTGTGAATGACTAGTGCATATGTGCGAGGGGAACCTTTGCCTTTATCTTAAAGTACTGATTACTGATTTCCCATCCTTTCCATTTTGGAAGGCTATTTTAAACTAAGCTTTGTTTACCAAATGAGCACAGTCCAAAATTAAGTTTTCATTTA